TGAGATCATGACCTGAGCCAAAACCAAGAGTCGGATGCTAAACTGACTGAGCCCCCAGGCATCCCAAGAATAAATATTCACTAGTTTGTGTTTATTTTCTTTCTTATTCTATGGCTGTTTATATGGAACCTCTTTGGATGTGAATAAAGGTCTGATCTAATCCAGTGGTTCTCACCCAGGGGCAGCTCTACCCTCAGGGGACACCGGGCAGTGTCTGGGGACATCTGTGGTTGTCACACAGGGGGGAGGGGGCCCTGGCACTGAAGGAGTGGGGCCACAGATGTTGCTCGGGCCACACAGCACCCAGGACACCCCAGAGAGAACAGCCCAGCCCAGTGTCCAAAGTGCTAGGGGGGCAGAGACCCCACCCTAAACTGTTTCCCCATTTTGCCTTATTTGCGCCCACCACGGAAGAAATACTGCCCGTCCCCAGGGTTGTCTAATCCTTATGTGCCCTGGAAGGTCAGATCTGTCTGGGGGTCACTCCCCCCCCCCCCTTTCTAGTTACCTCTGCTTCACGATATACCCCAGGGCAGGGGGGGGGCCTCCGTTGTCCTTGCCTTTCACACATTTGCTCATGTGATTCTTCTGCAGGAGCCCCCCCCAAACCTGGCATGGCTTCCTGGCCCTCGACTCAGATCCCAGGCAGGGCCTGGTGACATCCCTTAAGGCTCTGGTTTTAGGTGAACTTCACCCCAGGTTGTTCCCCTGGACCCTCAGCAGGGGCAGAACCGGGAGTCAGCACGGTGACCGGCTGCCCACCACCCACCTGCCCCCAGCTTGCCACGGCTCTGCCACGACTCCTGGGGGCCCCCTGCGGCTCTGCTGGCCCAGGCAGGCCCGGCCAGGTCGGGCGCCTGGTGCCATCACGTGCTTCCTGTGTTGCGGCGACGGGTGAGGAATGTTCCCTGGGCTGACTCAGCGTAGCTGCCTGGTCTCCTGGGGCCACGGCTGGGCCGTGAGTCAGTGACGGACTATGACACCAGCCAGGAGGAGGCTGGTGTCTCCTGCACGGGCTGGTGGTGACACAGCCGGTGTCTGTTCCTAGCATCTCCGCACACTCACGCACACACACACACACACACACACACACGTGCTCACCCATACACTCACACGCACATGTACACTCGTACGCCCACACACACGCGTGTGCATGCAGTATACATACACACCGACACGCACACGTATAAACACATCTCGCACGATGCACATTATTACATACAGACATGCATACATATACTCACGAAAGTACACACACGCCCACGCCCGCACATACATGCTCGTGCATGCACACGCACGCACACATCTATGCGCAGACGTGCACATGCACTCACGCGTGTGTATACACACATGCACACAAGTGCCCCGAACATTCACACACTCCTGCACACAAGTTCGTGTATATGCACACGCACGCACACCCCCAGTGCAGCCATCTCGGCCGTTCTCTGGGGCCTGGGTCATAACCCAGCCCAGAGGCAGCCTCTCGGGACATTGGGCCTGGAACAGAAAGCCAGCCACTCGGGGGCTTCACGCTTCGGAGAGAGGCCACAGTTGGGGGTGGCCACGCGGTGCAGGGGTCCTAGAGTCCTGGCGGACACTTCTGAGTGTGGATGCTGAGCAGGATTCCCCGGCCTTCCAAGGAAAACAGGCCATGGGGCCAGCCCGTTTGTTCTCCATTCGCATCTATATTTAGCGCTGAGTAATTTAGATATTTTTAAGCCCAACCAAGGGCAGTTTTCCCTGAGTTGGATGTTTTGTGGCTGCTTTGAAGCTCTCTGCTGAATCAGAGCCCTCTGGAAACCCACACGTGGGCTCTGTGCTCCCAGAACAGACACACTCAGGCCTTTTCTGACCCAAAGCGGGGCTGGATGTCTGCCGGGAGGGACGGGGAGCCAGGCAGTGTGGAAGGATTTTTTTTTTTTTTTCTAATTGAGACTTGTACGGAGGTCACCGTAGATTCATGTGCAGTTATAACAAATCAGAGAAGCATTCCACGTATCGTTCACTCTGTTTTTCCCGACGGTAACATTCTGTGGAAGTGTGACCAGCACCACGAAAAGCCCCTCCCGACAAGGCCTCCACCCCCAACCTCAGCAACCATGAACCTGTCCCCCATCCTGACGACAATTTTGTCTTCTCAAAAACGGTGTGTAAATGGTGTATAAACACAGACCATGTAACCTTTGGGGATTGGCTTTTGTCATGCAACATAACTGCCTGGAGATCTCCCGAAAGTGTTGTGTCAACCCTCCTTCTTCTTTTTCTTTTTTTAATCATTATTGCTAAGTAGGAAATGTTTTGAAAATCCCAAGCCTGCCTTTGCTGTTCTGTGGCCGTAGTGGCCACCAGGCAGACAGCGCAAGCTGCATCCTGACGGAGGACGGGGTGCCCTCTGCTCCCTGGCGGGGCATCTTCCCAGACCCCCGACCTTGGGCGTGACGCCCGGACAGGTCCTCCTGGGAACTTTCCCAGCATGAACGCTGCAGACACTGGGCCGTTCTCAGGGGGCGTCCCGGGCACTGTGGGAGCTGAACGGGGTCCTCGACCACACCCCCTCGGTGCCAGGATTCCCCCGGTCCTGATGACCAGAGACGTCCCCAGACAGGGCCCCATGTCCCCTGGGGGCAGCATCGCTCGTTAGAACGACGATACTAGAGCTCACTAAATGAAGGCTGTGGGAAGAGTAGAATTTTCCCTGCTGTAAGGAAGAGGAAAGACTGTGCACCGCCGAATTGTAAGAATAAATTAACACCACCCATATACTGCTGGTGTGGATGTAAAATGGTGCGGCCGCCCTGGAAAACGGCTTGGCACTTTCCTTAAAAATTGAACATGCAAATTACATCCCTCAGCGTTTATCTCAGAGAAATATATAGACTTGTGTTTGCACAGAAATCTGCACGCCCTTGTGGCAGCCGTACGTGACGGCCAGAAACTGGAATCGGCAGGTGCACCGCCGAGCCGGGGCCGGTCCACGCGGGGAACGCCGGTCCACGCGGGGAACGCGGCTCAGCAGTGACCTCGTGGCGCGCGCAACAGGCTGGGCGCATTTCCACAGGATTAAGCGCAGTGGGGGAAAATCCCAAAAGGTTATGTGCCCTGTGGTTCCACACGTGCAACGGTCCCGGATCGGTGGCAGCTTCGGAAAGGAAAACGTCATCGGAGGTCGCGGAGAGTGGGGGGCGGGGAGGGGCGGGGACGGAACCGCCCTGAGGCTTCCGTGCATGCGCGTCATGCTGACCGCGGGTTTTGCAAGGTGTTTCCAGAGGGGGAACCGTGCATAGGGTACGCACGTCTCCGCACGTCTCCGCCCTTTCCTACCACTGCATGTGACTCTCCAGGCACCTCAAAAATTTTAATTGAATTAAAAATAAATTAATAAAAATGTTTTCGGAAAGAAAAAAGATCGCCCCCTCCCCCAAACAATAGCGAAGCGGGAATCATTGGCGCCATAAAGGATTGGTTTTCTCGGTGGGCGAGCAGGTGGGGAGCCACTCTGACGGGCCCTGAACACCCAAGTCCTGAAGGTGCGGGGAGGGGGGGCGGGGAGCAAGCAGACCACTGGGCGTTAGCTGCTCAATAAAAGCAGCAAATACCCCACCACCACCCCCGCCACGGAGCAGCTGTCCTGGGAAAATTAGTGGAAGGGCTACTTGGGATTTGGGAAGAGGGCTTATCTGGAATCATTTGCCTGTGCTAAATGGGCTACTCTGAGCACACCATCCACACTCAAAGACACTGCAGGGGGAGTGAATACAGCCCCCCCCCCAAATTCATTTCCACCAGATCCTCAGCATGGGGCCTTAAGTGGAAATAGGGGCTTTGCAGATGCAATTAGTTAAGGAGAAGTCGTACTGGATTAGTGTCCTTAGAAGAAAGCCATGTGAGGACAAGGCAGAGATTGAGTGATGTGGCCACGCCAGGGACCGCTGGCCACACCAGCCACTGGAAGAGGCAGGAAGGACCCTCCCTGGGCCCTCCAGGGGGAGCGCAGCCCTGCCCCACCTGGATCTTTGACATCTGGCCTCCAGAACGTGGGAGAACAATTTCCTGCTGTTTTCCATATCCCCAGCCTGTGGTCATTTGTCCCGACCACCCCAGCACATCAGAAAGCTCTGGAAAACCCTGCAAAACCAAGTGGGCTCCCTGCCCCGCCCCCCCCCCCCCCGCTGCCCCCAGAAGCCTCTCCTGGGCCAGAAGCAGGAGCCAGAACTTGTCGCTCCTGCGGAGAGCCCCGGGAAGCCTTCTGTGGGAGCCCAGGTCACTGCGCGTGGCTGTGTCCCAAGGACAGCCAGATCTGGGGTGGGAAGTCAGAACTGGGCACTGACAGCCACGGCCTCCCCCTGCGTACCACTACCCTTAGCTTGGTTCTCAGGGCAGTGACTGGTGCATGGTGGGCCCCCCTGGGGTGGTTTGTGGGGTAAATTAGCCCATGGATGAAGGAAGTGATGCCAGACCCAGGACCCACGGCACATAGATGCTGCCCAGGTGACCCACCTTGGTCCAGAGCCAAGGTCTCACCCAGACGACTCTGCCCCCCGGGGAACTCAGGCCATGTCTGGGCACATCTGTGGCCATCACCACTGGGACATCCTGGCATCGAAGGGTGGGGCTGGGAACGTCCCCAGAACGCCCCCGGAGAGTGACCCTGCCCAGTGTCAGTGGTGCCGGGGGGCCTGGAGTGAGGCAGGGATCAGAGAAAGTGTCCCTTGAGGCCCTCATTCCAAGGCAACCACGAGTGGACTCTGTGGTCTGGTGAACCATCCCGAGACCCTGGGTGGTCTCAACCCGGGAGCACTTACCCCCGAGCAGCCCAGGGGGACTGTGGGAGACGGCTCCACTAGTCCTCCCACCGGCCCCACCCCGACCTGGGCACACGGGCGCCACGGCTCAGGTGGGGCACCAGGAGGCCCTGAGGCTTCCGGAAGGGGCGTCCTGCCTCTCTGTCCCCGTGGGGCCTCAGCAGCCAGTTCACATCCTGTCTGCTTCCCCTGCAGCCCTCTGGACGACAGGGGCCCGGAGCCGATGGCAGACAATGTCAGCCACTAACAACATAGCCCAGGCCCGGAAGCTGGTGGAACAGCTCCGCATCGAAGCCGGGATCGAGCGCATCAAGGTGAGCCTGGCAGGCGGGCGGGCAGAGGGGCCGAGAAGGGAGGAGACCCTGCAAGGAGGCCCGGTTCAGGAGGGGGGGGGGGGGGCTTTCTTCCAACTGTGCCCCTTGCTGTGTGAATTTGGGCCACTCACTAACCTCTCTGAGCCCCAGAATCCTCAGTGGGAAGACGCAGCTGACACAGAACCTGTGTCACGGGCTGTCGCGGGCATCCCATGTGCCGCAGGGCTTTGTCAGTGCCTTGGGACCAGAGGCAGGGCTGAGCCCGCCCCCAGCCCTCAGGGCCCTTCCCCACCCCACCCCACCCCCTGCCCCCGAGAGCCCTAGGCCGCCAGCATGAGGCAGGCACTTGCCCATGGGCTCTGTCTGGCTCCCTGGTGCAACAGACACAGACGGAAGGTAGAGACTTGGTCCAGAGACGGCAGGACCCAGGGCCCTTGGCCGTCTACGTTCTTCACTTATGCCTCGTTTGAATTTTTTTGCAATAAGCGTGTTTGTTTTTTATACTAAAAAAAGAAAAGGGACAAGTAGTTCCTGTGCACAGACACTTAACCCATCAGGGACCAGAGACCCGAAACAAAGTAGCTCCTCAGACAGACCTGTTCTTTTTCCTAACAATTTGCATAACATGAAGTTAACTGTTTCTTTTAAAGGGCACTGACGGTTTGGTAGCTTTTAGTACATTCACAGAGTTGTGCAAGCATCATTGCAGAACATTCTAGCAGCCCAAAGGGAAATCCTGTCCCCGCCAGCTGTTACCTCCACCCCTTCCCCAGCCCCCAGCCCCCAGCCCCCACGAGCCCTCTTTCCATCCGTGGATGACCCTGTTCTGGACGTCTCACACACACGGACTTACACCCCGTGTGGCCTCTCGTGTCTGGTTCCCTCCCTGAGCGTCGTGTGTTCAGGGTCAGTCCACGGGGCGGCGGGGGTGGGCGCTTCGCTCCGGCTTGAGGCTGCGGACGTGCGCGTGCGCTGTGGACACGTTGTGTTTAATATAGGTGAATTTTAAGTCCACAAGGGGACATCAGGACGACATCCAGGGTTCACGGATTTCTCCCATAAACATGGCAGGGGCCAGCCATGCAGTCGTGGCCTCTTACATGAAAAAGGTGACTGATTCTTTTCAAAGTCACCTGCTCATCAAACCCATGTCTTTGCAAAGGAGGTCGAGGCACCTCCAGTCATGGTCTCGTGCCCCAGGCCCCAGCTAGTGAGTGACCGGAAGTTTCCCCGTAGAAGACCCGGGTGGTTCCCGTGTCTGCAGCGGCCCTGCTTCAGCCGCCCCCTGGATCGGTCAGGGCTGTCCAGAGAAACAGAGCCAACAGGATGTGTATAGAGGGAACGAGAGGTATTCAGGAATTGGCTCACAGAACCGTGGAGGCTGGCGAATCCAGGGCAGACTGGAGACTCAGGGCAGAGCTGATGCTGCAGCTCGAGTCCCCAAGGCTGCCAGGAGGCAGAATTCCTGGTCTCCGAAGGCCTTCAACTGATTGCATGTGGCCCACCCACATTTACGGGGTCATATGCTCTACTCAGAGTCAGCCAATTTAAATGATAATCTCAGATTAAAATGACCTTCCCAGTGACATCTAGACTGGTGTTTGGCCAAGTACTTGGATACCGTGGCCTGGCCAAGTGGACATATAAAATCAAACATCAACCCCACGGATCTCTTCAGACTTTGATTTTCTGAGCACCCGCCATTCCCTGGTCTCTGGCGGCAGATGGGCTCCCGCAGACTCATACCTGACTGACATCCCTCAGTGGAAGGACATGCACAGCAGTGCCAGGTGGAAAGGCAGGGCTGCTCCAGCCCCCCAGGTTGCGGGGGGGGGGGGCCTCCCCCAAGGTGTCTGAATGTTCCAGAACCCTGAGCATTCAAAGGATTCATTCGGGCTGGAAAAAGAGAAAGCCTCAGTCAAAGCAGCTTCACTCTGGTGAGCTGGTGCGGCCACAGCCCTGATGGAGAGCGTGATTCACCAGCCTGTTTGATGTTGGGCTGGGCCCTTCCCCCCCCCAAGCCCCCCCATCCCCTCCTATCCCTGTCCCGCCTGAGGCTGTGCACCCCCAAATCTGTGGCCAGAACCTTGAACGTCGGTACGCCTGAAAGGCCGGGGGAGCCAGCGCCTGGCAAGTGGCAGCGTGGCGGGCATGGGGGCGGCCCCGGCACTCAGGGCAGAGCCTTCCTGTGGATGCCAGGGTGTCAGCGGGGGCCACATGCCGGAGCCACAACATCAGTTATTTCCAGGGTCCGGAGGCTATTCTGGTTGTTTCCGAGAGTTGCTTTCCAAATACAACTCTAGAAACCAAGCTCCTTTGGCTCATCCGAGGCAGGCCTGGGAGTGGCCAGCATGCTCAGGACAGTGGCAATTGTCACTGCATGTGGGTTGCAGTGTCCCCGCGGTGAACCCAGAGGCCGGCCTGGAGACCTGGCAGCACAGGGGACAAGGTCGGGCGGCCTTGGCTTGTGGGGTGCAGGGTCCAGGGTGCAGAGGCGCCACCCCGCCGGCAGACCTGAGGGGAGTTCTCAAAGCCTCCCTCACCCCTGCCTAGTCTCGCCCGCTCACACCCACATGGCTGCTCCTTTGTCACCTTGCAGGTGGGAAGGCAGGGGGCCGAACCGTGCTGGCTGTTCCTGCAGCACAGAGGAGACCAGGACCCCTTCACCCAGCACCCAGCCCCCAGCCCTGCCCGGGTGAGCGGAGTGGGGTGGCACCCTCTGCTGTGACCCCACCAGCCCCCCAGATCCCTGGGCCCCGGCCAGCTCGGGCTGCCAGAGATGCAGTGTGGAAGGGACTGTGTGGTGGCCCCTCCGATGTGGACAGGCTCTTCCAGAGCCGCCCGGACTGGGGTGGGGGGGGAGGAGTGGACCTTGGACTAAATCCTAAAGAGGGCTCTGTCTCTCCCTGACCTTCTGTCCAAAGTCTGGGCAGCTCCTGCCGAGGGACCCAGTCCCTTCTTTAATCTTTTTTAAATTGTGGTAGAACACACATAACTTAAAACCTACCATTAGTGATCACACACACGCAGAGTTGTGCAACCACCACCTTTGTCTAGTTCCAGAACATTCCATCACACCAAAAACGAACCCGGGCCTCATCAGCCATCACCCCTCCCCCAGCGCCTGGCCCCCCACCAGCCCCCTTCCTGTCCCCGGATGAGCCCGTTATGGACGTTTCACACACGTGGACTCACACCCCGTGTGGCCTCTCGTGTCTGGTTCCCTCCCTGAGCGTCGTGTGTTCGGGGTCCCAACGCGGGGCGGCAGGCGTGGGGCCTCTCGCTCCTGCTCTCGGCTGAGTGTTGTGCGCGTGCGCGGTGGACACGGTCGCGCGTGCGCGTGCGCGGTGGACACTGTGTGTATCGGCTCACCTGCGGGTGCTCCTGGGTTGTTCCCACCATGTCGGCAGTGGACGTGGCCATGGCCGCCCGCCTGACCTCTCCTCTCCCGTCCTTGTGCCCACGCACAGGTGTCCAAAGCCTCATCGGAACTCATGAGCTACTGCGAGCAGCACGCCCGGAATGACCCCCTGCTGGTCGGAGTCCCCGCGTCCGAGAACCCCTTTAAGGACAAGAAGCCCTGTATTATTCTGTAGCGTTGTCCCTCCGTGTGTCCCTGCCTGTGTCTCTCGCTCCGCTAGGGCGTCTGCACCACGCACTCCGGCAACACCTCTCCTGTCCCCAAACCTCCGGTTCCGGAAGGAACGCGAGCCGCTGCCTCCACGGATGGGGTAAACTCCTCTCCCGGCCCGGCCAGAAGATGACGCTGGGGCCGCGGCCGCTTCCCATCAGGAGTAACAGAGATCCCGAGTGACGTGGTAACAATTTGCGGAAACTCTGGGTTGCCGGGGGGCTGCGGTCCAGAGCCCGGCCGCGCCGCGAGAAGGGAAGAAGGACCGGCCGCTGGCCCCGGGCGCCCCGGCGGGTGGCCAGTCTCACCCGCTGGGCCGTTTGTGAAACACTTGGCCAGGTCCCCGCTGCCGTGCTCTTTTTCTTCTCCTAAGCAGAGGAGAATTGGGTGGTGGGGGCGGGTCACGGGAAACCTCTTTGGAAACTGGTCTCCTTTTCAGTTAGGCGATTATTATTCCGCAGCGCTGGGCCCAGAGCTGGGGGGCTGAGCCTGCAGCTGAGGGGTGTGTAAAATGCATCCAGGGAATTTAGGGGCCGGGAAGGGGGCTTTGTCTGTGACGTGCACCCCGCGCAGCCCAGTGTCGCCCTGCTGTGTGGCATGTGTGCGGCCTCTATACGGCACGCACCACCCAACGGCCAGGCCGTGGCCCCCCGCCCTTTCCTGGGATCCCACCCATCCCACAAAGGGATTCTCCGCAACTTGTCCCGCTCACCGGAATGGCCGGCGGCGTTCCGTCTGGTGTTGAGCACGAAACGTCGACGTGGGCCGTGGTCACACCTGGCTCTTCCGGGTTGTTGTGTCGTGTTGTGTTTTTTTCCACTTTAGCGCATCGCTATGGCCATTTTGCAAACAGAAATGCAGCCAGAGGAGGCCCTTCCTGGGGGGGCCAAAAGGTGTTAGGTGACCAGAAGGAGCCGCAGGGCCTCACCCGTGGGACTCCTCGCCCTTCCCTTCCCTTCCCTGCAGTGGTTCGTCTTTAGTCCCTTGGCCTCTAGTACGACCGGGCAGTTGAAGGAGCCGGAGGTACAGGGAGGGCACAGGGCACACCCGTCCCCACACCCCCACCCCCCTGCCCCGCACCGGGACAGTCCTCACCCCAGGGCCTCGTGCCGACCTCCATGCTCCTGCCCCCACTCAGCCCCCTGCTAGTGCCAAGGCCCAGATCCCACCAACGCTACGCTCAGGGGGACGGGGGATGTGTGCACGGGCTGGCGGGTGACTCCCCCTGGTGTGCAGGCTGTAGGCCCGGCCTCGCTCCCCGGCTCCCAGCTCTCTCCGGCCGGTCCGGGAGCACCAGGGGCTTTGGGGAGCCCAGCCTGTCCAAACCTGCGGTTGGATGGGGAAGCCTTGGCCGCCTTTCATTGGGCAGGGAGCCAGAGGGGGCACTGTCCCCCACAGAGCAGCAAGAGGGAACAAAACCCGTTCCCCACCGGGGAGGCTGGGGCGCAGCAGGATCTACCCAGAGACTGGGGGTGGGGGCGGCTGGCAGGGCGAGGCCTGTCCAGGCCACTTCTGTGCAAGAAGCCTTAGTCCCTGGGGCCCAACCTTCCCCTGCGTCCCCACTGTCCTGGTCTAATGCTCTGGCCGTGGGGCCCCACCCCAGCGGCCCCCCAGAGAGGCCAGCGGGAGGGGAGGCGAGGTGAAACCCAGGAGCCCGGCTGAGGGCCGAGCGGTTGAACCGAGTCCGGCAGCCGCCACAGCGCCCCCCCCCCCCCCAGCCCTGAAGTGAACCCAGGTCAGAGCCCCCCGGGGCTGAGGGGTCTGAGTAAACTAGGCCCAGAGAGGGTGAGGATGGGCCGTACCCCCCGCCCCCATCCTGCCCCAGGAGCCCCAGCCTCGGCCCAGGGAGGTGGCCGTCACAGGAGCCCCACCACGGGTATCTTTCTGAGTGAGAAAAACCCTTCCTTTTGCCTTCTCAAGTAAACCTCCGTGTCTGTAGTGTAGACCTGGAGGGCCTGTGCATACGACCGCCTGTGCTTCCCAGGCCAGTGTCCTGCGTGAACACGTGTGCAGGGCTCTGCGGGAGCTGGCGGGTGGCAGCCCGCATTTCAGCCACATCAAGAGGGGGCATTAAGGGCACGCCGCCCCCCCCCCAAAATAAACAGGGGCGGGAGACACAGGGTTTCCCTTTCTTTAGCGTGCCTGGGTGTCCCCCGGGGCTGACAGCTGGGGCCCGTTCCCTCCCCTCCCCTCCCCCACTCCAGGAAGGAGCTAGAAGGCACACCCCTCCCCACAGCGGTCCCCCAGGCCAAGAATTAAGTGGGTGGTGGTGACCTCTGGCCCCCAGGGATGTGCAGTCCTTCTTCCTGTGACCCTGGCTGACCCCCTCCATGTCCGGGCGCTGGACCTCCAGGCAGCTCATCCGTGTCTGTGGGGCCCCAGCCCCACCGAGCTCTGGGGGCAGGAAGAGGCCACCAGCCCACCCCGAGGGTGAGTGACCAGGAGCAACTTCCAGGCCCAGGGGAGGCCACCGAGGGTTGCTCGTCCTTCAAGAACACTTACAAAAAGCCAGCCTGCCACGGAGTCTCTGGAAAAGAAGCCCTAACCATTGCCAAACATTGCACAGACCGGTTCCGGTCCGCAGAAGCCATCTGTGGTTCTAGCAGGTTCTACCCCATCTCCGTTTGGATGTTCAGTGGCTTTTATTTCTGATTTTAAAAAAATTTCCAGGTGTCTACACCCACTTTGCAGTGTTTTAATATTGTGTGGAATTGTTCATACAGAGTGAACTGATCCCCAGTGCAAAGGCTCACTGGTCCTTCTGTCCATGCCCCCTGCCTGCTGGGGGTGGGGGTCGGGGCAGGACAGGCTGGTCCCCTCCCCTGGCTGCTGGGCGGGTACCCCAGATGGAGCATGGCCTCAGGCGGCCCCAGAGAACAGCTGTCAGCTTTGACAGGCTTTCCAGCCTGTTGTTAGAAAACCCCGAGGAGCAAAGTTCGAGGACCACTAGCCCTGTGCCCCGCGACTCGAGATTGTTTCCGTCCAGCGTGGCCTGTAGGAGGGCGCATCACTCTGCTGAGGGCTTGGAGTGCTCTGGGCCTGTTGTCCCCTGTGTCCAGGCACCAGGGGCCACCAGGGAGCCCAGGGGACAGGCCAAGTGAGTCACGGTCCCAATTCAGACCAGACAGTGGAAAGTTCGATTTTTGGTAACAAATCTGTAAATGAGAGATTCCGACCCCCGAGCAGAGGACTTTGTGTAAGACATTTATAGATTCCACTATATATACATGGTCTACTTTGCAGTCAAGTGCCCTGCCACCGGGCTATGCCTCTGAAATTACCCACTTGGTATCAAAAAGCGTAAGATTAGAGGTCAATTCGAAAACTCAAATGGAGAATTAGGACCTTATGCGACAGCCCCACCTCTGGGTGTGCAAACAGCAGCCGCCAGGGTCCCTTAGCGGATGAAGGATAAACACGATGTGGTCCATCCACACGCCGGAATGTGACCCGGCCTCAGGGAGGAAGGACGTCCTGCCACCTGCCACCACGTGGACGGACTTGGAGGTCGCGGTGTGCAGTGACAGGAGCCAGACACAGAAGGACACGTCCTGCATGACCCCCACTCACAGGGGGTCCCTAGAGGAGTCCCGTCCACAGAGACAGAGAGTAGATGGTGGGAGCCAGGGCTGGGGGGTCAGTGCTTCATGGGAACAGGGTTTCAGTCTGGGGAGATGGAAAGTTCTGGAGACAGGTGGTGGGGACGGCTGCACCACAGTGTGCATGTGCTTGAGGTCAGTGTACTTAGAATGTTAAAATGGTAAACTTCATGTCGTGAACTTCACCACAAAAAGGGGAAAACTCACAACCTTGCCGAACACCCCCCCCGGATGGCTACAATGTAGGACTCGGTTGGCCAGGTCGTGGAGCCGGCCCGTGAGCGTGCATGCAGCACGGCCCGTGTGGAGCTAAGCACGTACCTGCTGCAGCGCCTGGCACTCTGCTCACGCGCCTTCACCCAAGAGACCGACACGTGTGTCCCCAGAAGGTGCTGGGAGGAATGTCCAGAGCAGCTTTTGTCCCAATCGCCAGAAACTGAAACTATCCCAGGCATTCAGCAACAGGTGGATGGATGAACAGACTGGAGTCCGTCCCTGCCCCAGAGTCCCACTCCACAGGATCAGGGGTCGGCCACTACCAAGTGCAGGAACCTAGCTGCCTCTCAGTAAGCCCGAAATAGACAAGAGCATGGCCAGTAGAGTCCACGGATAGAGAACGTTCTGGAACAGGCGAGCCTGGGCACGGCCTGCGTGGTCAGGAGAATGACCCCCAAAGACGTCCACATCCTGATCTCCAGAACCTGGGGCTACGTCGCCTTACGTGGGGCGAGAGGAATCCCGCAGAGACGTGGAGCTGACCATCTAGAGATAGGGGTGACCCGGGGGCCCAGTGTCCCCACAAGGGCCTCACACGTGGCGCCTTGGGAGGCCAGCAAAGGCAGGAACTATGTGAAGGAGGCCAATCTGAGAAGGCCCCACGCTGTGACATTCTGGAAGAGCCATGATACGGAAACAGTACAAAGATCGTGGCTGGGGGAGAGCGGGGAGAGTGAACAGATGAGCATTTGGGGGAGATTTTTAGGGCACCGACACTGTTCTGCAGGACGCAGTCACCATGGAAACGCAGCATTATACGTTCAGCAAACCCCGCAGAATGCCCGCCACCAAGAGTGAGCCTGAGTGGTAACTGTGGACCACACTGGTGCAGTGCACAGGCCAGCATCCTGCGCCTGAATCCGGCAGGCCTGGTCTCCCCAATCCAGGGGCCTGCTGGGCATCATGCCTCCAGAAAGGAGGAAGGAGGGCAGACCCCACACCAGCGGTGCCAGGAGACCCCGAGGTGGGAGCCCCCCCCACCCCCCCCCCCCCCCCGCACACTGTGATCTCCACCCCCAGGTCTCGGAGCAGAGTAAGGCACTTCAAGAACGGAGCCATGCGTCCTGACCCACGCACACGGGGAAGGCCTGGTGGCTTTCCTGACCTGCACATGCTCAGGGCGGGGGCTCCCGCACCTGCTGCCACCATCACGGGCGCCTCACCCGGGGGGGGGGGCGGTGCAGGGGCTGCTGTGGCGAAGGACCACCAGCTGGGTGGCTCCAAACAACGGGCACTTTCGCGCTCGTGTTCCGATGTGCTTCCCGCCCCCTCAGTGGCTCCCGACGTCCCTTGGCTGGGAGCATGGTCTCCCATCTCCGCCCATCGTCACCAGGCCCCTTCCATGTCTCTGTGTCCCTTCTCTTCTTGTAGGGACACCAGCCGCTGGATGCAGGGCCCACCCAACTCAACCGCATCCCAACCAATTACATCTGCAAAGACCCTCTGTCCAAAGAAGGTCACCTTGTGAGGTCCCAGGTGGACGTGAATTTGGGGAAGACACCAGTCAGCCAGGTGCAGCAGACACTTCCAGGTGGTCTCATTTGACCGTAGAGATATCTCGTGCGCTCCCACCAAGCACGCTTCACTGACTCACTCACTACGGGCCTGTCAAACGGCTGCCGGTCCAGAGGCAGAGTGAGGCCCACAAAGTCAACAGTCATGGCCGCACAAAGGAGGGGACGTGGCTCCGGGTGGGGGGGGGGGGGCGGCGGTTGGAAGGTCAGGAGAGGCTTTGGACAGGGGCTCCAGCTGGGCTGGTGCATTGGGTTCAATTGGGTCCCCCCAAAATCCGCATTCTAGTCCTGACCCCCAGTACCTGTGAATGCACACTTAAGTGGAAATAGGGGATCGGCAGGTGGTGACACTGGGTTAGGGTGGCCCCACATCTGGTGACCGGGGTCTGCGGACGAGAAAGGAGGGACATTTGGGTACCAGGCTGCAGGGGAGACACGCAGGAGAGGCCAGAGCCGTGGCTCTGGAAGCTGGGAGGGGCGCCTCAGGGGAGCAGCCAGAGCCGGGGTCCGGGGGCAGGATGCAGAGGGCCGGTGGCACCCAAGGCTGGAGAAGCAGACAGAGGACAGAAAACAGAGGGTCTTAGGGGTCATGCCAAGGAGTCCAAAACGTTTCCGGTCGGCTCTGGGGACTGGAGGGACGGCAGCCAGCCAGAAGGGGCCACCGGGCCAGGAGGACCACTGAGTCAGAGTGGCCCACAGAGGCGGTAACCACATTCAGAACGGTGGTCATTGCGGTCACTACACAAACCATCTCCAGAGACCCCACCCTTTTCAACCCATGAGGGAAGCAACTGGAAAATTCTGAGTCACGAGGCCTCTCGGGGGACCAGCTGCATGATTTCTGGGACCCCTTGCTCAAGGTGAAAAATTTCAGGATGGTAACAGTGGAACATTCCAGCAAGCCCCACCCGGGTCCGTGCAGGCCACGACCTCTCTCCCCCTTCCTCCCCCTCCCCCCACCCCATGCCCCACTCGGAAGATGGTTTGTTAGGAACAAGGGCACCTGTGACCCTCCCCACACCCGAGAAATGCAGGGAGACGTTCGGTGACCTCGAGTTCTACACCACAAAACCTCTGCTCGAGAGATGGCGTAAACTTCCAAAAACCAACAAACAAAAACCCCGTGTCCCTGTCAAATGCAACTGACTGCATTTCATTTATGAAATCAAGAGGCGAATCTTTCACTCGGATCGCGTTTCCAAGATGCCGGAGACACAGCGGCCCCATCAGGGCGGCCGTCCAGTGTGCTTGGGGTTGTCCTCTGAGCTTCCGAGCACAAAGCACCCAGCAGTGCAGGGTGGGGGTGTGGATGCAGGGCAGAGAACACGGAACTGGGACGCCCCATCTGCGTCCACCCCCAAAACTGACCTCAGCGCCTCTTCTGGGCCTTTATGCTCTTCTCCAAGAGAAGGTGTGAGCGGGAGGCCTGGGCGAGACTCGAAGACCCACCAGCGCTTTGCAAATAGCGATCGTGTTGTTTCTCCTACAGTTTCTTCACCCTGTTTTGGTGTTTCTTCTTTGAAATGCATTTTGAGACCGTCCGTCCGCAGGGGGTTCTTTGTGGTGAAAAGAGGCCCCGGGCACAACCAAGATGAAACTCTCCGCCCTGTGACAAAAGCATCAAAATATGGGAAGGTAGAAGAGCAGGGGCTACTCACAAGGCTGGTCCTAACACTGTTTCCTTTCCGTGCCTTCCGGTTCCTGGCTCTGCAGAAGGCCACGCCACCCAGGGTCGGCCGGGCTCATTCAGGAGGCCTACTGGACAGGACTTTGGGGATCAATAAGTATGGGAGAGACAAGGAGGCGGCCGCCCAGAAGGCTCCGGAGCCCCGCCCACCTCTCTCGTTGGGCCCATATGCGGGTTTTTTCCCCCCTCCATTGTGACCTGCCACGGCACAGGCTGCCTGCCGGTTGCTGTGACCTTGGTCGGGGCGGCCCTGCAGCCCAAGCAATCCCTGAAGGCGCTGGTGCAGAAGGGTGGCAGCTGCCCGCCCCACTGGGAGCCGGGACGCCTGGTCTCTCCTTGAAGGGATGTGGACAGCACAGCTCCACACCCACCAGCCGTGTCGACCTTGACCCTCTGTGTTTAATTCATTCTTCTCTGTACATGGCAGACCCCACTACAGAGAAGCCCCTGGAAACAGGCCGACAAGCCAGAGGAGAATGAGCACCACCAGGGAGCACTCATGATCACTGGAAAGCGTGTAGCCGCACTGGGGAAAGGGCAGGCGGACGTTCATGAGGTGTGGTGCTAAAGCCATGCGCCGACTTCAATCCTGACTGTGGGGACTTGCGCCTTCGCTCCTCCCAAAGCCTGGGGCCCTGCGGTCCCCTCCCCTCCCGGCTGGCCTTAGAGGTTCCCAGGAAGCCCCCGCGGGCGGGCGGCGTCCCTCCCCCAGAGATCCAGCGACACGAGGGGGAACCCCACGTGAGGGGCCTCCAGGCCGCAGCAAGGGCTCGGGGATGGGGGTTGGGGGCTCCCCCCCGGGCGACCGCATCAGGCTCCGCCCTTTGTGCAGCACGCGTGTGGCCGGTCTGCGGAACCCGGCGCAGGGTTGACAGTGGAAAGAGTGACGTGAGGCCTCGCTGGCGAGCCGGCCCCAAGAATGTGGCACTCTTTCTGGCCAAAATGTATCACTCTGGGAAGAACTCCAAGCCCAAGGTTGAGAGAGGAATCTTTCCTGCGCTCAGAACCCGGTCTGGCGGCCCACACGGAAGGCAAACAGGGTCCAAACGGGGTCAGGTGCAGACCAGGCCAGCCAGCAGGGGTCCAGGGGCTCCATCCCGGCTCTGCCCCTCACTAGCCCTCGGAGCTCATGCAGGGACCACACCCCTCCCGTTCCTTCCGTTTCCGTGGGGGGTCTCGGTGATGTCTCCTCACTCCGCTCCTCTATGACCAGGAAAACGAGAACATTCAGGAAAAGCCCCGCTTTCTACTGACAGGTGATTTACCTGCCTCCAACCTATTCCCTGCACATCAAGAGAATCGAGAGAGGTTCTGAGTTTGGCAAACGCTCGGGTCCCCATCCTCGAAGTCATGCGGGCCTGTCTCTGCAGAGGAAAGATTCTCAGACCAGGACAGTCTGGGCTCGAGCATGGGGTCAGAGCCTACCGTCCCCATCCCGGGGAATGGGGGGAGCACACTGGCTTCCGGGCAAAACAAAGCCCAGGCCGGGCCCTTAGTCCCAGCCCCCACTGGGAAAAAGTAGCAGAAGCCGCCCTCCTCCCCACACTGCTGCTGTCTGTCTGACAACCTCATCCTGGCCACCTTTGGAGCAGAGGGAGGGAGGAAGTGCCCTTCATGTCTGGTCGCTTTCCTGGCCAGCACACTTTGAAACATACTGTCCGTGGGTTCCTGGAGGCTCCGTTTTCGGAAGACAGCTTCTCAGACGCCCAAGGCAGTGGACGTGGGCCAGGCCTGGGGAGCCTGCGGTCTTCCCTGGAGCGTTTCCGGAGGCCGGGAACCAGGGGACGCCTCAGCACCGGACCTGCACGGAGGCACAAGGTGAAATGGAAAAGCAACAGGCAGGACAGGTTCCACCACCGAGGTAGCTGGGGGACTTCCAGCAACTTCCGCCTCTGCACCCAGCTTCCTCCTCTGGAGAAAGAGGACAGTTAGTGGCACCGAGGTGGTCGAGGTGGTCGTGAAGATAGTTAATAGGCACAAAGGACATGATAAGCGTTGGAAAAGTAAAGCTGGCTGTGACGCTCTCAACTTTCAACGGCCTGTGGTGCAAATAAGTGACCACTGTCCCTTCTGACTCCTGCAAGCATTTCCTGCTAACTGCTGACCCCACGTTTACTATCTGTTCACGGCCTTATCTCCCCAGTCAGACCATCCTGTCTGGGGGACACGCAACGGGCTCACAGAAATAAACTGGCGGAAAAAATAAAAAATACATGTAAAGACAGCGTTGTCCACTGTCCTGGGGGCTGTGATCCAAGGCGACGCAAGGGGCATATAGGGTCCCGGAAGGCAGGTCCCTGCACGGTGGGGCTGGGGAGACGGAGGGGGTGCCTGTGGTCCGGTGTGTGTCGGGGGCAGTGTGTGTGTGTGTGTGTGTGTGTGTGTGTGTGTGTGTGTGT